CTCTCTCTCTGAAGGAATAAGTAACAGGACTTTTGATAAAAATAAGAACTTTTGGGCAAGCTCACACAACACCATGGCTCAAAGCATATTTTTAGAAGTAAGAATTAGCACTCAGACTGAAAACCAATGAAGTTTTATATAAAACCATATTTATTGTGTTTGTGCACAATGATTGGAATCTAAACTTAGTCACATTTCAGAGAAGAGCTATCTTTAACAGTAGGATAAAGCACAAAAACAAGTATGTGCTGCTTTATTTTGCTCATACAAAGGAAAATGTGTGGACAGAAGGTAAACTCCATCTCTGACACACACACAGAGGTTTCACTGTTCCCCAACCCTGCAAGCCTCTTCCCGCACCCCCATCCACAAAAAACCTGAGCTAGCCAAAAATGTTTTGTTATCTGAGGCAGAGCAATAAATGGTTTGCAAATCATGATGCAGATATTTAATACAGTAGTTGGGTTTCTCTGTTCTTCAGAAGATCAACCATATTTTCAAACATTTCAGTCATGATGCATAGTACCCAAGTAACCCTCCTATTGCCAAGAAACAAATAACAATTTGCTGTCCAGTGAAGGGGATGGGAGTGCAATTTTATGATTTTTTTTTGTCAGAGTAGGTGGTACAATAGTATCTGGTAGAGACTCAGCCAGTGGGAAAGATGTAAATGATTAGGTGATAATGAGGTTTTCAAGTTGTATTAGTATTGTGAAACATTACCATAGGCAATAGGTGGAAAATATTCAAGAGACATTCTTTTTTGTAGCTAAGGACCACACAAAGACAGCATTTGAGGCTTTGGGAAAATAAGATAAAAATGGGAAGGACCAAGACATTAAGAAATTTTAAAGTACCGTAGTACTGTACCGTAAACATCAGACTAACCACCTGCACCTGGGGAGGATTACACTGAGTTAAATCACTGCAGGTCATAAAATAGCTTGTGAGCCAGGCCATCCGACTCTTCTCTGTAATGCAAGGAAACTGGAACTGTGCAGTGGCAAAGTAATTTGCCGTTCTCTGACATATAGAAAATGTAAGAAAGGGAAAATTAGATCAACTGGAGTCTTTGTTTTCTTTGAAGCTGCTCTTATTTTTGGCCAGTCTTTTCAATCTTTGCAAGTTTTGGTTAAACCTAGCATTTCTACTAATTGACAATTGTTCATGCTCATTGCATATTGCAACATCCACTATGCAATAAACAGTGAACCCTGCTGAGTTCACTGAAGCTTGCTCTTAGGAAACTGCATGGGAGTGGAGTCTGTATTGTAAACACAGGTGCTGTCATGTATACATAATCATGTGCACGCATACATATCTATATTTGGACATACTAGACATATTGGACATGGATGGATTTTCTCTGGATTCTCATGGGAGCAAATAGGAGCTCCAACACTCTAAAACATATCACTATATTACTATTATGATTTGAATGAATGTCAAATTAGCTATCTGCAGACACTTTTCTTGAAGATACTACATCAAGCTAGTTGATACACTTTGCCTAATGATAGCACTATTATCCTTTAAATATAAAATTCGTGGATAATGAATGCAAATTTATGATATGTTATGATTACATGAAGATCAATATCTTATCACATAACAGGAATTAAAATTAGGAGTGGAGCCACAACATACAAAGAATTGGTTATTAAGTATGTTAGCTGGAATTTCTCTGGCTTGCAGTCCCAATACATCTAAAGGGCCCCAGCTTGGAATGGGTACTCTAAAATGTTGATAGGGGTCTCAAAAAGGAAGTGTGTGACGAGTATGTATCTTGTCTGAAGTACAATAATGAAAATGGCCACATAATGTCATAAGATCAGGGAATGAATGGGTAGTGAAGAAATGAGGACTGGATATAAAAACGAGTGACCACTTTGGAAGAAGTGCATTGAGGTGCTTAGGTCCATGTAGGGAAAATGAATGACTATGATTTAATCACAAAACAAACTTATGAAGGAAGAATGAAGGGATCTAGTGGAAAGGGAAGGCCAAGAAAGTTGTGGTTGGATGGAACGGAGATCCTTAAAAGGAGAGGAGAAATTTAAGGAACAAAATAAAAATAATGAAATATACAGTATATGGACATGGTAGAAATGCAGAATTATATGGGGATATAATAAATTGCACTGTGGTAAACTAAATTTATTTAGATATCCTTTTCTCTTAAAAGTGGTCTTAAATGTTTTTTGCTCGCTATTTCTTATTATTTTTCTCTGTTTTATGTAATGTTGCTTACTTCGAAAGAGAACTGCATGATGAGTATGCGTATATGTGTGAGAATAGCCATGGCATGACAAATAGTTCTGAAAGGTACTGAATCCCTCGGATACACAAAGATTATACTCCAAAGAAAGTTAAGCATCCTCACATTTTATTAAATATTCAAAGTAATCATCAAATAAATTATTTTAGCTTTTTTAAGGTAGCTGTATAACTGGACAAACTTTCTACAGTTGCTACTGTACAACTGAATGATAATAATCTATATCAAAACAAAACTAGGTGATAGATTTCCCAATACTAACAATTTTTTCAGTCAGCTAGTTATCATGCTCATGCATGCATAAAAAGATTATGATCTTAATACTGAAGTACGGTATGCCTACGAATTCAGAAATCTGTCAAAGTGCAGGCTGGATCGGATAACTGGAATCAGAAAGGATGTATTTGTGTGAGGAGCAAAAATGATACCAGGAAGAAGCTCCTTTGAACATAAGGCCAAGTTGATGCATTAAGACTACATGTAGTTGGCTTGTTACCATGTTATGTGAATCAAGCCTTTGAGATTTGGAAATGGTAGTTTATAGCTTAATGTGTTGTGAAATTGTAGTTCCTTGATTAGGGTATTGTATTCTACTTGATTGTTTGTCTGTATTTAAAAGACTATGGCTAAACAAACTATGGTTTATCATGGCACGTGACAATGGGACTTGTAGACTTGTAGGATAAAGTTGAGTTGTCAGGCTGCCATCCAAAGGATGCTTACTCCTTACTCCTATATTGAAACAATTGAGATTTTCTATTTATATTCAGAGATACAGGAGACCAATAGAAGATTATACAGTATATATAGCTCAGGGTTGAACTGTGGAGTCCTTGGTGCTCTCTAAGCTTGGTTGTTTGATTGCAGACATTTCATTACTCAACTAGGTAACGTTATCAGTGCCATTGAGTGTGGGGTTTGCTCCCTGTTTATATACAGTAGCTTGCCCTGCCAGTGATGGTGGGGGTGTGGTTTTCTCCTTGGTAGTTCCTTGATTAAGGTATTGTATTCTGCTTGATTGTTTGACTGGTGTTAATCCCTGCTTATCTGGTTGTTGGTTGCAGGAGAGGATGTGTTCAGGTCTTCTTGTTTCCTTCTTAGCTTTTTAGTATCTATTTTGAATGGTGTATAAATGTGGTTTATCTCTATGTGTCTATTGATGGCTGATTTGTCTGAATGCCAAGCATTTAGGAGAGTTAAATGTATATTCTGGGAATGCCATAGAGAAATAAGAAATGTAACCTTTTATAGAGACTTTATGCCATAGGAACTGGCAGGAGTTATGGATTTAAGTATACCATCCTCCCCCCACCCTCTCTGTACTAAGATGTATACAGTACGGGCAATCTTTGGAGGGGAATATGCTTGATCTGAATTGTCCAGGTGAGCTACAGTCCATAGCTGATGATTGGGGCATTTCTGGACAGCAACAAGATGCTTCATAGCACCACCTTCCACATCTGCTCAGACCAGTCCCAAAGAATGCTGCACCGGGATGCATCAGGAGGGATATCTAAGTGTTACTAAACACTTAGTAACTAAAGAGATGAGCTTGTTCATAATTGAGGAAAAATATGCAAGTACTGTAGTGTTTAACTTCTGAAATCAATAGGCTTCCAACACAATATGCACTGTATGTACATGAAGGGATCTGTGCAGTTACGGTGTGAATTCATTTTATTAACTTATTGAAAGTGCTTAGATTCCACTCTTCAGTCTAAAAGATTTCCAGTGTAATTTGCAAAAGACAAAACAAGGCAACTCCTGCCCTTAAAATATATAAAAATAACAAAAAGAAAACTGACCGGGGAGGGAAAAGAAGGGGATGGTGATGGATGTGATGTAGCACAGGCATTGATAATAGGCGCGTGCAATGCTCAAGCATGGCTCAATTGTGGTCGGGGGTTCAACAGCCGTGGTGATGCAGCGTCTGTTTACCTACTTGCTCGGACCCCCCCTCCCCTTTTGAACTAACTGGGCCTTGACTTCAACGCCTGCCCTCTGAAAATGCACGGAGTGGAGAGGAGAGGGGCTTGGGAAGTGAGAATGTGTATACCGGGAAGGGGGGTCAGAGAAGTTGCGTGTGTGCAGCTTGAACGTTCAAGCGACGCAGCGGAATGGAGGGAGGCGTGCCGCGTGTGTGTGAGCGAGCCGTTTGAGAAGTTGGCGGGTGGGCGTGTGCACGCAGGACTTGTCTCAGAAGAGAGCGACAGGTGGACGCCGGGCGAGGGGACGCGCGTTTTCGGGAAAGACCGTAGGGAGCCTGGGACGACCGGCTGAAGCGCTCCCCTCCGCCGGAGGAGCTCCGGCAAGGCAGAGGCGGGGAAGAGCGCCGGGGGCTGTCCCCACGTGGCGCTGACGCTGAGCCTCTGAACCGCCGAGCCGATCAGGGGCTATAAAGTGAACCAGGAGCCCGGAAGGCTGAGCTTGAGCGGAGAGCGCTACCTTCTTGGAGGAGGCGAATTTGTATACCGGCCGCGGCAAGAGCAGCGACGCCTGGTTGGCAGCGTGCGGCGGGGACCCTCCGCGCGGCCTGCCTCGTCGTTTCCCCCCCGCCTAGGACAAACATAGCCCC